TGTCCCTTAAGTTAACTGTAAGATGGAGCAGCCTAAGCCATGGCTTTTTAAAAAAAAGTTGCTTGAATGTCATAGTGCAGATCCAAACTCTTGTGCCAAACTTTTTCTAGGAATAGCCAGAGGAATACGGAATAATCACTCACCCAACCTTTACTGTTGCTGTGTTGTGTAATCTTTTATTGAAGAATACACAATACACATAAGAATACACATAAGAACAATACATACTCTTAAGTGTACAATTTGATGAATTTTTACAGTGAACTTGTCTGTGTAACCAGCACCCAGATCAAGAAGTAAATTGTTACTAGAGGGCTCCCTTCCCCGCCCCCCCACTCCCTCATGTGCCCAGGGTGACAACTGTCTTACCTTCTAAGACTGTAGATTATTGTTGCCTATTTTTATACCTTTGGGTCTGGTTTCTTTTGCTAAACATATTTTGTAAGACTCAAACATATTATTGCTAAAATAACAGTTACTTCTTAATCTCCAGTCCACATTAATTGTAGTGTTTTGGTACTTTAAATCAGTTCACATACTCATGTAATTATTAGGGTGAACACAAGCTCATTGAACTTTAGACAATATTTTACTTATGGCTATAGCAGAATTTATAATTTCAGACCTAGTATTAAATATAAGTTTTTGAAAGCTAGTGTACATCATTTAGCCATTTCATGTTTTAGTGGAAGCCTTGTGCCAAGTCAAATGTTCTTCTTTGAGTCTACACTTTTGTTTAGGGGACTGTAGCTTCAGGAGAATACCATTTACTCCCTCCATGATGGTAAGTCATTTCCTTTGCCTGCCAGTGATAGAATTGAAACTCTCTTAGTTCTTTGTGAATGTTATTGAAAAGTATACCCTAGAAAGAGAAGGGGTGCTTGAATGATCCAGGGTGCATTCTCTCTCATCTGGACTTTTTCCTGCCTGTTGACTCGTCTCTGTAGACTGGCTTTCACAGACACATGGCCGCTAATAGCTCCTGACTTTTATAACTTGTAAATTCTACCATGAGAGAGGACTGATTATTTTTTCAGTTATAGTTCAGAAAAATCCCAGTACCTACCTTTTACCTGTCAGCTATAGTCAGAGCAGGGAATGAGGGACTGCGGCTGGCTGTGCTTGGGCCTGCCCCTGGTTGGTCAGCTGTGTTGAGCTGTAGGTCTTCTTATGATCACTTGGTGAGAAGGCGATGTGCTATTCCTAGAAAAAGGGTGGTGTTGCTGGGCAGACCAAACACTAGACGTCCACATCACCCTGCTTCATACACTGGAGGCTGGGAAAGTCATGAAAGATTGTTTCATCAAAGCTGTTTGGAATTCTGGAAACAAATTCTACTGACCAGTGGCTAGACCACAGACAGTGATTATAATCAGTGTCCCTGAAGATATTTGAAGCGCTAACCTGTACCAATTCTGAACAATTTCCATTTGATACTTTCAAACTTATCATTCCCTTTCATCCTTACCCATCCTTAACTAGATCCAAAAAGGTTATTCTCGTCCATCAGAGTGGTTTTCAACCTTTTTTAAAGTGGCAGGACAGTATTTTTAAATTAAAAAAGAAAAAAATCACACACACAAAGCAAAAGTTCATATTTATGGATTCATGAAAATGTAATAACAGTATTACCAAAACCTAGACTAAATGGCTGCATACCAAATTCACATTTGTGGTGGTCTCTGAGCAGGGACGATGGGAAATCGGATTGGAGATACAATAGAGATTTCAACTTTATCTGTAGTGTTTTATTTTATTTCTAAAATAAGTAGGGCAAAATGACAAAATGTCATGCATGTGTGTGTGTGTAAGAGAGAGAATATTTTTTCTCCAATTTATAGAAAAAGTAACAGAAATAAAAGAATAATTCCTCAAGAATCAGCCAACATGGGCTGTATGTCATTTGTCCTCCAGCACCTTCAGGAGGCAGCAGCATGGTGTCGTTGTGCAGTGTACATACTGGGGACCCAGGCTACCAGGGTTCTGGTCCTGTCATTTACCATCCTGGGCAAGTTATTTATCTCCATTCGCTTGCGTTTCCTCATTTGCAAAGGACTATAGAAATTATTTTTTATGTTATCAAAATTCCTACTTTATAGTGTTGTCGTGTTGTTTTTTTTGAAAGTTAGTAGATATCAAATGCCTTAGATCAGCATCTGGCACATTGGAAACACTCAATAAATATTAGTTATTGTTCATGTTATTATTAGTAGTAGGAATAGAAATAACCTCTATGCATGGGTATTTTTTCTCATTTTATTTTTCTGAACATTTTTGGGGGGCTTACACCATATTTGGCACCATAATAAGCCCCACTACCTTATCTCATTTCAACCTTATAAGGCAGGGAATTTTATTATAGGTAAGGAAACTGAGGATTAGTAACTTGATTAAACCTCTTATAGCTACCAAGTTATTGAGCTGGTTTAGAACTAAGTTCTGGAAATCCAAAGTCTCTATTCTTAACCTTAACATTTTATTACTGCCAGGAAACTTATTATTTTTCTTAAGCAACTTTCAAGGAATGGAGGGAAAAAAAAGTTGTCTAAAATAGCTAAATTTAGCTCAATTGACATGTGATTTAGAATTGGGAATATAGGAAAATTTATGTAGGTGAGTGTCTTAGTCCATTTTTATGTTGCTGTAGAGGTATACCTGAGGCTGGGTAATTTATAAAGAAAAGAAGTTTATTTAGTTCACAGTTCTGCAGGCTGTACAAGAAGCATGGTACTGGCACCTGCTTCTGGGGAGAGCTTCAGGCTACTTCCACTAATGACAGAAGGGGAAGGGGAGCCAGCACGCGCAGATCACATGATGAGAGTAAGCAAGAGAGAGGGAAAGGAGGTGCCGGGCTGTTTTTAACAACCAGCTCTCATTACCATGAGGACAGTACTAAGCCATTCACTAGCGATCTGCCCTCATTACTCACCAGGGCTGACCTCCAACATTGGGGATCAGATTTCAACATGAGGTTTGGAGGGTCAAACGTCCAAAGTATAGCAGTTAGTAAAGAATACTTTTAAATGTAGCATTTTTAGATAACATTTGTGATAGTGTCTGCTAGATGCTAGAGACCATGCCAGGAGTTTTATAGACCTAAAAGCTTTATAGACCTATAGCTTTATAAACCTTGTGTTAAATTCTTGGACAGCCCTGCCTGGTAGGCATTCTGTTCTTTTTTAGAAATGAGGTATCAATTTCAGAGGTATTACACACCCTGTAAAGGGTCATGCAATGACAAAATGGGATTTAAGACCCTGCCTGTCATCATACCAGAGAGCACATGCTTTTCATCGCGGGGAACTTGCTTTCTCCCTCTATCAGTTGTTTGTATTTTTTTTGTTTTATTTTTTATTTTTAATTATTATGGGTATATAATAGTTGCATATCTTTATAGGGTGCATGTAATGTTTCGATACAGGCATACAATGTGAATTAATCAAATCAAGGTAACTGGGGTATCTATCACCTCAGGCATTTAACATTTTTGTGTTAGGAACATTCCAATTCTACTCTTTTAGTCATTTTAAAGTATACCCTAACTTATTGATGATTATAGTCACTTTGTTGTGCTGTCAAATATTGTTCATTCTATCTAAGTATATTTTTGTTCCCATTAGCCATCCCCACTTTATCCCCCTCTACCCGATACCCTTTATAGCCTTTGGTAACCATTATTCTACTCTCTGTCTCCATAAGATCTATTGTTTTAATGTTTAGCTCCCTCATGTGAGAGAGAACATGCAAGACTTGTCTTTCTGTGCTTGGCTTATTTCACTTAACATGTTCTCTAGTTCCATCCATGTTGCTGCAAATGGCAGGATTTCATTCTTCTTTATGGCTATATAGTGTTTCATTGTGTATATGTACCACAAGTTCTTTATTCATCCACTGATGGACACTAAGCTTGATCTGATCCCATTTGTCCAATTTTGCTTTGATTGCCTATGCTTTGGGGGTATTACTGAAGAGACCTTTGCCCAGACCAATGTCTTGAAGCATTTCCCCAATGTTTTCTTTTAGTGATTTCATAGTTTCAGGTCTTAGATTTAAGTCTTTAATCCATTTTGATTTGATTTTTGTATATGGTGAGAGATACGGGTCTAGTTTCACTCTTTTGCTTATGGATATCCAGTTTTCCCATCAGCATTTATGGAAGAGACTGTCCTTTCCCCACTGTACATTCTTGGCACGTTTGTCGAAGATAAGTTCACTATAGTTGTGTAGATTTATTTCTGGGTTCTCTCTTCTGTTCCATTGTTCTATGTGTCTGTTTTTATGCCGGTACCATGCTGTTTTGGTTACTATAGCTTGTATTTTACTTTTGAGGTAGATGTATATATTCTAGATTTTATTCATTATATTATTTTTTAAATTTCCTCATAGTTTAGAAAAATTAGAAGCAAACAGCATATAAGCCATTTAATCAGGGATGACTTTGTGCAGTTAAGCAATGCAGATTATTTTTTTAATAATGTAAAATATAATCCTTAAATTTTTTTAGCTTGTTTTTTCCAAGGAGAACAATATGCATCTAGCTAGCCCATTAAAATGTAGTGTACATAAAAACTAAAAGTAAAAACTTCTCCATTTTGGCTTAGAGAGTAAAACTGCTACCATATTGTTTCTTTCTTATAGAATATCCTGGTACAGAGTGCTAGCTTTATTTCCTAGACATGAGAATTTCCAGGTCCTTTTCCTGCCCTAAATAAAAACATACTGGGTGTGTATTTAGTCATATTGTGCTTGTCTCAGTGTGAGATTGAAATTTTCCTCTTTAAGTAGATCTAAAAGTATTAACTTGGTACATACAGCATTACTTCTGGTATTACTTCACTTTGAGTAGTTATTATGCATTATTATGGTTTAAAAAATATATAAAGATGATAGCAGTAAAAAGCATTTGATTTATCATTTATTTGATTTATCATTATGAGTACATTGTCACTGAGCATATAAGTGGTGTGATGGAAAGTGATCAAGTCTTCGTTTCTTACCAGGTGATCAGACTCTGAGAATTTGGGATGCGAAGGCAACAGGAGTCAGAATTGTGATTCCAGCGCATCAGGCAGAGATTTTGAGTTGTGACTGGTGTAAATACAATGAGGTATAGTGTATGGCTCTACCCTGAGCTATTGTCCTTCCTAATGTTAAAATGTTCTAGATTTTATTTATCTTTGTTTATGTGGATTTGGGTGGTGTTCCTGGACCATTAAGTTAAATTCAGTCCCTTTCATTTCTAATTAATAATTGTGACTGACCTGCATGAGCATTAATTGGATTTAAGTGGTCGTAAAACAGGCAGAATAACAAACAGAAATCCTCAAAGTTCAACAGTGCAACCTTACTTGTTTGTTTTGGGAAATTGCTTCACAATTTATGTAATTTTTTTTTCTCTATTGCTCTTAACCCTGCCACTTTGTATCATCTTTTGCTTTCAGTTCTTTTTCACTTTGCTAGTCAGGCTGCTGAACTATTTGTAACTTCATTTTTAATTTGACAGTCCATCAGTTTTTAAAATTTTCTGTTTCATCCTCCTTTTTAAGCTTAACCAATTTTCATGCTTCTATAAGATAGCAATGTGCATGTGGAACTTTTTTAAAAGCTTCATCTAACCACATGAGCATATGAATTAGAGATAGAAATGGATTAAATATGTGCTAATATACTACAGTCATGCTCCACATAATGATGCTTTGGTCAGTGACCACCAAATGTATAAGTGGGTTTCATAAGATTATAATGGAGCTAAAAAAAATCCTATTGTCCGTGAGGACTTTTCAGTGGGAAAACACTTTTCAGTGTTTTCAGTGGGGTGGAAAACAGTGATATTGGTGATTCTGACCGTGTGTAAGGTTAGGCTAATGTGTGTGTCCATGTCTTAGTTTTTAACCAAAAAGTTGAAAAAGTAAAAAAAAAAAAAAAAAAATTACAAATAGAAAAAACCTTATTAGAGTAAGAATATAAAGAAATAAATTTTTGTACAGCTGTACATTGTGTTTGTGTTTTAAGATAAGTGCTATTATAAGAGTCAAAAGTTAAAAAAATAAAAAAGTTAATAAGGCAAAAGCATTACAGTAATCTAAGGTTAATTTATTATTGAGGAAAGAATTTTTTTTAATAAATTTAGTGTTGCCTAAGTGTACGATGTTTATAAAGTCTGCAGTAGTGTACAGTAATAGCCTAGACCTTCACATTCATTCACCACTCACTCACCCACAGCAACTTCCAGTCTTGTAAGCCCCATGCATGTGTAAGTGTCCTACATAGGTGTACCATTTTTTATCTTTTATACCGTATTTTTATGGTACCTTTTCTGTTTCTATATTTTTAGATACACTACTACTTATTACCATTGTGTTACAGTTGCCTAAAGTATTTGGTTCACCTGCTGTACAGGTTTGTAGCGTAGGTGCAATATGCTATAGCCTAGGTATAGACTGGGCTATATCATCTAGGTTTGTGTAGGTACATTGTATGATGTATACACAACAATGAAATCACCTAATGCTGCATTCCTCAGAACATATTCCCATTATTAAATGATGCATGACTATTTATGTGTCTGAAGTAGTCTGTTGCCTGTGACAAATAGGTAAAATGTATGCCTTTTCTTTTCTCAGCTTTAAATTAATTAATGAAAATAAAGAGAACCTTGTATTGGCAGAGTTCTTTAAATAAAAAGAAAATAAAAGAAAATATAGTACATATTCAATAATAATTCTTAATGTAAATAAAAAATTCAATGCTAATGACTGCAGTTTCAGTCTCTCTCACCATAAATGAATTATCCATATTGGAAAATTAAATCGTGACTTATATGTTTTACATTTGGGAATTCTAAAAAGAGGTGCTGATATGCATTTGAGAGTGGCTTTAAAAATTATCTAATCATTGAAACTCTTCTCCAGAGGAGCTTATACTAAAGCCCAACATGTTCAGACAATGAGTTACTGCTGTGGTTGGTATGGGGTGGACTGAGTGTGGACTCATCTCTCAGGGACTCTGGTTTCACTTAGAGCTCTAGATAGCAGAATTTGTAAAGCCTGACTAGGTAGGAGGCTCATCACTATTTGCACAAATGCTCAGATATGATTAAATATTATATTAAGACTTGGTCCAAGAGAGTTGGGAACAGTGATTGATTTAGATTTAGAAAAACGTAAAAATTTAGTTTATACCCTTTGCTTTTTCAAGTATTACTGAATTAACAGGCTTCTTGCCTTTCAATGCTTGGTAAAAGCTCAGAGTGTGTTAAAACCCTTTTGAAGAGAAAGCTGGGCTCATTTGTCATATATAATTTTTAATCGTTTGTGACTAATTTGGAGCTATATGCCTTTTTCTGTTGTGTGTAATGTTCCATCATGTACATAAAGCATGTTGAGTTCCTTTTTTCTCAAGTCATATTAATTTTTGCCATTTAATGTCTATTTTGATTCCTGTTTATACTTGTTATACAGTTTCTCAAGAATGACTCCTGGGTTTGGTATTAAACTATTATCAGAAAATACATATCATTTCTAGTAGGAAAGCCTGTGTACTGCTTAATTGCAAAGATGTCACAGTTTACTTTTTTCTAAATTGTTTTTAGAATTTGCTGGTGACAGGGGCAGTTGACTGTAGTTTGAGAGGCTGGGACTTAAGAAATGTACGACAACCAGTGTTTGAACTTCTTGGTCACACCTATGCTATTAGGAGGGTGAAAGTAAGTTTTTTTCTTTTCTTTTTATATGTAGCATAAAAATTTAAATATAATCAATGAAACATATATAAAAGAATGTTTTGATGTTTATGGATTGGAGTTGTTGATCCTTTTTTATGTGTGTTTTTGTTATCCAATTAATGATAATGAATATTGAAAGCTAAACTTAGGAAAAATATTTGAATAATTATTAAATGAATTGGGACAATGTAGACATTCAGTATGTAAGGTTAAGTAAAAATATTTTTCTCGTTGTTTCAACCCCAATCTACTATTTCTTTTAATGTTATTTTTTAACTACAATAATTTACTTTTAGTTTTATATTCATCATAATTTCCATTTAGTGAGAGTCTCTTTACTTTGTTAACACCAGTATAAAGAGATGGTTAATTCTTTCTTTTCCCTAACATGATAATATAGATGAATGTTCACGAATGTTTGGGATATAGAAAGTTTTCTACTCTGTAAGCAACAGAAGATGAGGTAGCTTTTTGTGTTGTTTCCAAGAAATTTGTCTGTGTTATAAGGTGACCTAAATTAGTTTCCTAGCTTTTGTTTAGGCAGGTCCTGCTAAATTACTGTGGAATGCATCTTATTAAATGCATCTCCCAATTTCATTCTTTGGTTTTTATATTAAAAGAATACTTTATTGATTTTTTAAGAAGATAATTACATGTCATTTCTATTTTTAAAATTCTAAATTTTCAGTTAAATGCCCTATTTTATTTTTTATTAGTGATCATATGTGAACAGGTTTTAGTAGTTGAAAAATATTCTCTATGTATATTTCAGAGTGCTTCTGAGAATGAAATAAGGTATTGTAGTGAAAGTACTTTACAAAATGAAGTGCTGTTCAAATGTAGTTATATATGTATATATAGCTATTAAAGTGCTGTCAAGACAAACACTGAAGAAATATTGCAAAGGGCAGCCTATTAAACTGTGTTTATTACTTATATAGGAGGCATTACTTACTTTAAATTTGCAGTTTTTATCCTTGGTATCATTTTTCATTAGCTTTAATATACAAATAACATAAAAATTCTTTTAAAAGTAGTTAACATTAAATGTTTATTTTGGTATGTGTGATTATAGAAATCATAATACGTATTTGTAAAATTGGTAAATTATATGATTACATATTTATTCTGTCATGCACTTAAATCCATTATATTTTTAAGATTCATTTTTGAGTAGCCAATATGAAATTGTGTTTAATTTTTCCAGAATAGCAACAGAGATGACTTTGCTGATGATTTTCTTTGAAGAATGTAAAAATAAATATTTTTCCTATAGATGGATACTTAGGGGCCAAATTTTTGCCTCAAATTAAAGCATGTAAGGTTTGGGACAGCATAATTTTAAGTGATGCCTCTGATTAACTTAAATTTATTATAATGTTTATGGAATGACTATAGGAACTATGTTATAATTGCAGCTAACCTCCAAAAGGTTTTTTGTTTTTTTTTTGTAGTTTTCGCCATTTCATGCTTCTGTGCTGGCCTCTTGCTCCTATGATTTTACTGTAAGGTACAGTGATTTTTGACATGTTTCATTGTGAAATACCAAGTGGCATTTGCATATTTACAATTTTTGTGAAAGATAATGTGTTTCTCTTACTAATATGAAAATAATCTGAGGTAGGCACATTTAAATATTTACCACTAGGATTAATATTATATTTTATATTTTTCATCAAGTAATGTTTTCATGATCTAGCCAATATATGAGTGAATTCTTTCTATTCAAAAATTAGCCTGGCTGTTCTGCTTAAAAGCCTTTTTTTCCTTATAGTTGTTCTTATTGGTAACACTCTTCTACTCTATAGATTGCATAGCCAGTATCTTTTAAATTTAGGTTTAGAAATTGGGAAATTTTATTTCTTCAGGTGTAATTATATGACTCTTACAGCTGAGATTGTTTACATGGGAAAACACTCAGCATGAGAATATGTATGTTTGTGAATGTACATATATAATTTGTGTGTTTGTGTGTGTGCATGTGTATCTAGGTATGAGAATGTGTGTGTTTGTGTGTGTGTGTGTATGTCCATCCATTTACAATTCCACACCATACAAGGGTTCATTCTCTCTTTCCTAATTGTAACTCCTGACTTTTGTTATCCACAATATATTCACTTATGTGCTAAACCCTAGAATGTTGACAAAGTAATTCGAGAATTTCAAAGCCATGCCTTTGCTTGAAAGAATCTTACTAATTAGAGCTCAGCATTTGTTTAGAGTTGGCTTTTTTGTCTTTAGTCCAAATACTGTTTTCAAAAGATACTTGGGTTGATTAGCCTCTTCTCTTTTAGAGTGTGGTTATGTTATTTATTTGAAACATTGTTTGATTCATTTGTTTCTGTTTATATTCAATTTTAGGATTTTCCTCCCATCCTTGTTGGTTTTGTCTATTTTTCTAAACAGACAAAACATTAACATGGTTCCAAAAGTTAATATTTATATATAAAGATATATTCAGAAGGGTATCATTTCCCCCCTTCTATTTCCTCTTTCTATTGCATTCTGTCCCATAACCTGTAGGTAACCAATCTTTTTGAAACACATGTATATTTTCTTAGTTCCCCCTTTTTTATGCAAAGAGTGGAGTACTCTCTAAAATTTTGCTTTTTTCACTTAAAATACATCCCAGTAATCTCTCTATATCTGAGAGGTCATTCTTATTATGTGGAGGTACTGTAGTTTATTCAGTTACTCTCCTATGTATGAGCATTTAGCTTGTTTTCAATGTTTTGTAAATAGACAATGCCACAATGAATAATAGCCTTATGTGTATGTATGGTCACATTATGAGGGAATTAATGTCAAGGTATATTCCTGGAATTGGGATTGCTAGATTAAAATGTAAACACATGTACTTTTGTTGGATATTACCAAGTTTCCATCCATAAGGAATATACCAATTTCCATATTAGCAGCACTATTTGAAAGTGCCTGTTTCTCTGCCATTTAAAGATAATTGATTCTTTAGGGTTTTCCAGGTGAGTGATCATGTCATCTGCAAATAAAGATAGTTCTACATCTTCATTTCCAATTCTGCTGCCTTTAATTGATTTTTCTTGTAAAATAGCCTTGGCAAATACCTCTAATATACTGTTAGATAGTTTATAGAGAATGTTTGATTTCTGATATTAGCGAAAATACCTCTGGTGTTTCTTTGTTAAAAATAAGATTCTGGCTCTAAGACAAAATATGTATGTTTGTCATGCTAAGAAAGTAAGTATCAATTCCTATTTCTTGAGTTTTTTAAAATCAGGAATGGGTCTTAAGTTTTGTTGAAGACTTTTTTCCAGCATTTTTGGAGATATTCATGATTTTTGTTCTTAGAGCTATGGGTGTGATGTATTATATTAATGGGTTGAACCCACCTTGCATTGCTGGACTAAATCCCACGTGTTCTTTGTGTTTCATTTCTTACTATGGTGTTGGATTCCATTTGCTAATATTTTATTTAAAGCTTCTGTGTCAGTATTCATAGGTGATATTAGTCTGTCATTTTCTTTCTCTCTTTTTATTTATGCTTTATGTGTAAATGTTTTACTTGCTTCATAAGAAAGAATTAAATTGTCCTTCATTTTCAAGGCTCTGGAACGATTTATACTGCATCTAGGCTATTTGGTCTTTCAAGCCTTGGTAGAATTACCTTGTAAAACTATCTGGGCATAGTGCTTTTTGTGGAGTACTTTCTTGATAACTTTATTCTTTTATTTCTTTTATGGGAATTAGATTGTTTAAACTTTCTATCTCTAGTTGGATCAATTTTAGAAATTATCCCTTGCATGTAGTTTTTCAAATTTATTTGTAGACATGTCTGTAAAGTAATGTCTTAGAATTTCTTCTGTTTCAATGGTTATTTCACTCTTGTCATCTCTGATTTTGTATCTTTGTAAGTTCCCCTTAAGTTATCTAGTGGTATGGTTATTTTGTTATTTTTCTTCAGCAAGTAGGATTTTGATTTATTAATTAGAACTACTGTTTTTCAGTCCTCTACCATATTAATTGCTGCTTTTATCTTTATCATTTCCTTCTTGGTACTTTCTTTTGGTTTACTTTGTTATTGCTGGGTTTCTTTTCAGTTTTTTGGTTGTATTCCTTGTCTTCAATGCCCTTATGTTTCTGTGTGAATCTTTTCTTCTCTGGGCACCACCTAATTTTGTCTTTATTTGTGATATGATTTTGCCTTTTTTCTTCTGTTTCTTTCTTGAGTTCATTCAGTTCTGTTTCACTTTTTTCTGTTTTTGTCTACTACTTTGTTTTTGAATTCCTGATCAAATTGGTTTTTTTTTTTTCATGTCTCCAAATGCTTGCTTGAAGATATTTGATTCAATTTAGAATGATATGTTACTGGTTTCCACTTTGCTATCTGTTTTTTTGAGGAAAATATTTGTTAGATGAGTTGTTTGAATTCTTGTAACCATGTATTTTGGTGGTGTTTTTTTGTTTCTGTTTTTAATAAATGAGGACTTTGTGTATCTCTGCATATACATAGACAGGGTTGATGGTTTGAGGTTAGTACCTTTCCTTCCTTTTAATCCTCTTCCCTCCACCTCCCATATTGACTTTATAAACCCCCTCTTTGTATACTATGTACTTGAAAATTCATACTCTAATCTGTATTATGCTTTTCCATTATTAACACTTACAGGATAGACTTTCTCTTTCTGGAGGTAGTTTTAGATCAGTGTTAGATATGATCTTAACTCCTCTCTTCTCTGTTCCATTCAGTGTTTCCTAAACTGCCCTCGCTGTTTGCAAAGGCTTACAGCTGGAACATGGGAGCTAGCTCATAGGGATTCTGTTTTGATTTTTCTCCTTGCAGTTCATTTGTAGTTTGAATGTGTTGAAGACATAGGTTTGTATCATTTTATTTGTTCTCCTTATTGTTCTGTATTGGTTTTTCTGAGGATACACCAAATGTTTTAGATTTATATGGCCTTATTGCCTGGTCTACCCAAATCTCCTCTCTTTACTGCTGAGTCACTATTTTATATAGCACAATCTATATAACTTTGTGTAAAATGTACTTCTAATAGAATAAATTACAACAATGCCTTGAAAGAAATCACATGTCCTAACTTGATTTTCTTGAGCGATTCAGGACAAACAGACAGACAGACTGGGAAACATAATCACACTGAGGCTCCTGGCTCTCAAAAAGATACTGTAACTAGGCTTTTTGTTTGTTTTTAATATTATATAAAATATAATATTTATATTATATAAATTATAAATATATAAAATATATTATAATAAATATATTTTATATATTTATATATAAATAACATATATAAATATAATATTAATACTATATAAAATATAATATTAATATAAAATAGTAAGGAGTAATTATAGACTTTTTAGCTTGGGAGCCAAAAAGTGGCAACAGGACAGACAGGAAGAAAACTTGCCAGTTGCTCACCATCCACCCCAAACGTTTCCAGACTGGAACGTGGAGCTAGATTATTGGCTGGAGGCTAGAGCTGTGCATGCGGATTTGAATTCCATTAACTTACGGATCCAGTCATAAGGATGAATAAGCCAAAGGAGATAAATAAGCGTAGAGAAAGAAGAGCAAAAAGACAGTGTCTTCAGGAGGGAATTCATGTCAGAAGGAAGAAAGGAAGAGCTCACCAGAAAAAGGAGGAAACCCTGGAGCATGCAATATTTCACAGACACTGTGGGAGGAGAGGCTTTCAACAAGCTGGGGATGGCCAGTAACATCAGATCCTCCAGAGTGGTTGAGCAGGACGAAGAGGGAAGTTTGAATCTTCTCTCTCACATGGGGTCATTTGTGGGATTTCCAGATATAGAATCTAGTTCTTAGAATTCAAAGATTCTTTTTGGTATTTGAAATAGGAAGGCATAACCAACTGAAATGAGGCATTAATCATTTGATGATCTTGTATTTTGTATCCTTAACAGTTTTAATTGGGTTTTTCTAACTTTTAGACCCTATCAGTCAAGGACTATCTTAAATCAATTTTAATGTTTTGTTTCTGATTAAAGGAGGAGACTTAATAACTACTGATATTTTCTTTTTAGAATTGTCATTATGATCTTAATCCTACTGACCACTAACTCCCTGTTTTTTCCATATATTTAAGTACCCCTAAACACCCAGTTGGGAAAAACCTTACTTTTTTAGATGTAGATTTGTCTCAGGAATATTTGTTATGATAATTCTTAATCACTCATCCCAACCTTTGCCTCTCTTCTCAAGCCATCTTCCCAACCCTGTTCCCTGCACTTTCAGCAAAAGACCTTACCTGAAAAAAAAAAAAAAAAGAAAAAAAAAATTGTAGGGCTCAAGCACAAATTATCTCAATTTCCAACCCAAGCCTGCAAATTTATCTAAATCCCTACCCCCTCATTCCTCCTCTTATTTGGAACCCATAGACATGAGCACTTTTGATCCTTTTTACTTGTTTCCTTCAGGACTTCACCGTATGAAGTGAACTCTTCTCCCTCCTGTACCAGCAGTCTTCAGCTCTACTGACTTTCTCTACTACT